TCTATTTATCTATCATCTATCTATCTGTCTGTCTTTCTGTCTGTCTGTCTATCTATCTTTCTTTCTATCTATCTATCTATCTATCTATCTATCTATCTATCTATCTATCTATCTATCTATCTATCTATCTATCTATCTATTTATTTATCTGTCTGTCTGTCTGTCTGCCTGTCTATCTGTCAGTCAGTCAGTCTTTCTGTCTATCTATCTATCTATCTATCTATCTATCTGTCTGTCTGTCTGTCAGTCTGTCATCTACAGTTGCCCTTTTGACATTCACCATATTAACCTTTAAATATTACATGGGACTGGTATGTGTGTGTGTGTGTGTGTTCCACCTCCATCCTCTCCTCCTTCCCCTCCCTCCCTGTTTGCTCCTCTTCACTTTAACACGTACCATCGCCACTTTGGGATGCGGACATCACTTAGGATCTCAGCCACAATGCAAATCGTGTCTATCATAGTTTCTCACTGCATGTCAGTCATAACAGAATTATGTTTAGTGTTCAACTGCCAAATGCATTCAATTTTACAATGACACACCCATGTGCGTCCTCCAGATGAACAAAAGCTGTGACAAAGGGTGGCACTTAATGTTTTTGGATCCTTTTATATTTATAAGTAGCCTATTTATATAAAATGCCCATATTTCTGTGCGATGACCTTGTTTCAAAAGGACATTGTTGGGACTGGTGTGTGTGTGTGTGTGTGTGTGTGTGTGTGTGTGTGTGTGTGTGTGTGTGCGTGCAGGAGCGCGTGTCTACCAGACTTGAGGGGGGGGGGCAGAACGAGGTGGGCACGCCCAAACCCTGGTGTTGAATGACACCTGTCTGTTGCTTCTTGTGTACATCGGTGCGTCCTGCCATTGGCTGAGGCCAGGGAAAGGTACCCAGCGCCGGAGCGCCGTGGGCGGGTGTAAGGCCTGTTTATAAACCCAGATCTCTTCTCGTGGGCGGGAACAGCAACAGTAGGGAGAGTGATAGTGAAGCACAGGGAGAGAGTGAGAGGGGGGGAGAGAGAGAGACAGTGGAGGAGACGAGCCTGTGGCGGCGGCTGAGGTTGACCGGGGTTCGCGGAGGGGGCGAGGCGGCGGCCCCTGTATGCGTCTTCAGCCGCGCATGGACGACCACCTCAGCCTCCTGCAATCACCCCCGCCGAGCGTGACCAAAACTCGGGGTGACAACCTCGTGAATCACGGGTACACAGAGACAGAGGCCGACGTGATGACTGTTGTGGCGTGTGACAACATGCTGGAAGAGTCGGCGGCTCTTCCGGGCCACCACTCTCTGGACAGATACGAGCCGGATCACGAATGCTGCGAGAGGGTGGTCATCAACATCTCAGGGCTGCGCTTCGAGACGCAGCTCAAGACTCTGTCCCAGTTTCCAGAGACGCTGCTGGGGGACCCCAAGAAGAGGATGAGGTACTTTGACCCTCTCAGGAACGAGTACTTCTTCGATCGGAACCGACCCAGCTTTGATGCCATCCTCTACTACTACCAGTCTGGCGGACGCATCAGAAGACCCGTGAATGTGCCCATTGACATTTTCTCTGAGGAGATACGCTTCTACGAGCTGGGCGAGGAGGCTATGGAGAAGTTCAGGGAGGATGAGGGCTTCATAAAGGAGGAGGAGCGGCCGCTGCCAGAGAATGAATTTCAAAGACAGGTGTGGCTGCTGTTTGAATACCCGGAGAGCTCGGGTCCCGCCCGGGGGATCGCGATAGTGTCTGTTCTGGTCATCCTCATCTCCATTGTCATCTTCTGCTTGGAGACTTTGCCGGAGTTCAGGGACGAGAACAGGGATCCGATCACCATTGCGCCCTCGTTAAATGGCACACTCTCATATTTCATCAGCCCCTTCTCTGACCCCTTCTTTGTGGTGGAGACGCTTTGCATCATCTGGTTCTCCTTCGAGCTGCTGGTGCGCTTCTTCGCTTGCCCGAGCAAAGCCACGTTCTCCAAAAATATCATGAACATCATAGACATTGTGGCCATCATCCCCTATTTCATTACCCTGGGCACGGAGCTGGCGGAGAGACAGGGGAACGGACAGCAGGCCATGTCATTAGCGATTCTGCGCGTAATTAGGCTGGTTCGAGTATTTCGCATCTTTAAACTCTCGCGTCACTCCAAGGGGCTTCAGATTTTAGGACAGACTCTAAAGGCCAGTATGCGTGAATTGGGCTTGCTAATATTCTTTTTGTTCATTGGTGTCATCCTCTTCTCCAGTGCTGTTTATTTTGCCGAGGCAGACGACCCAGAATCGGGGTTCAACAGCATCCCAGACGCGTTCTGGTGGGCTGTTGTCACCATGACAACTGTGGGTTATGGGGACATGCACCCCGTGACAATCGGGGGAAAGATAGTTGGATCTCTGTGCGCAATAGCCGGCGTGCTTACCATTGCCCTGCCCGTGCCCGTCATCGTCTCCAATTTCAACTACTTCTATCACAGAGAGACGGAGGGCGAGGAGCAGGCACAATACCTCCACGTGGGCAGCTGCCAGCCCCTGGCGGACACGGAGGATCTGAGGAAGACTCGCTCCTCGTCCTCGCTCAGCAAGAGCGAATATATGGTGATAGAGGAGCATGGGATCAACAGCGCGTTCAAACAACAGCCCAACTTCCCCACTACCACTCAGAACAACTCACAGAATTGTGTGAACATAAAAAAAAAGATTTTCACCGACGTGTAGCCAGTTTTTAAGAGTCTTGGCACCTGTATGGACACAGACGGGGGGGCGGGGTGATGTGTCAACACACAGCCGGTTCTGTTGTTGCGCACCAGCGTGTGGAGTCCCCGGTTTATCAGACGAAGAAAGAAAGGAACAAAGAGAAAGAGCCAACCCTGTCTGTTCAGATCCGCTGCCTCGTGCTCCATTTAATCCAGAGATCATTTAATATCAGTTATCTGAATTCATAAATCGTTATGGTTCCATGCGCTATTGGAGAGAAATAGCTCCTTAAAGTATTAGACCTATACTATTCCTTTCTGGGGGGGGGGGGCTGTTGTGCAAAAGCCAATATATGATCACAACAGAAATAGAAGCTTTGTAACTGTGAACGATGAGCGCAAATGTATGCTGCTCGGAGGACACTCATATTGTATTAACATGCGTTATGAGTCGTGATTCTTCAGTCATAGCTGTGTATAATATTCGGAATCATTTAAATGTGTGTAATGTCTGAAAACACAGTTCAGAATATATAATCTCAATTAGACCGTTCTGTGCTATTTGCCTTTATCGTGCGTTAAAGTCTAGTCCGGATGCTACTGTCTTTAAAAGAATAACCATCTTTGTTTCCTGAACGCGAACTTTGATCATGATAGGCTCTTTAATGCGTAAACGGCACCATGTAAACACAGGGTCCATGTAGCCAGGTGTCAGTGTCTCGTCATCGGCGCAAGACACACGTGAGAGAGGAAAAACACACACAACACAATCAGCGATCAGAGATGGAGCATGCTTGTCTTTGGATGCCTCAAATATAGCCCGCTGTGATGTAGTCTCCATGGCGACGTTCGTTTCCGAGGTAACCCCTAGTCCCCCGTTGCCATGGCGCCCTTGTTTCCACAGTAACCTCCGAGATGGCTTGGGAGCTTATGGAAGATTCACATCTAAATGGCTCGTCTCCGGTCTGTAATAAGATTGTTTCGTCATCGTGCGCTTAGTGCGTAAAATACGAGCCCCTCAGACGCGCCTGGCGCCGCTGTCACTGATCGGTGAGCTCACTGCATTGACACGAACAAAAACGAATTGGAGTAAGGAGGTCTGTTTACAAGTTGAAACCACGAACTGTCCCCTAAACACCAGAGGTGGGAAAAGGCGCAACTCAGAGAGGCGCTACGGCCGGGAGACAGCGTGTGAGGAATTATGAATGGGACTGGGTGCGCTACTGTGGGTTCTCACCAGAGGCCGCTGTTGTCTGACGGATTAAAATGGTAAGTAGTGGTCACAGTCATGCTCCTTTTTCTTTGTGAATTATTTATTTGCCTTTGTGTACTGTTTCAGGATTTACACAAGTGTTTCATACACTAATCACCTCAGGAAATTCTGAACGACTCTTTTTAAGAATTGCACTTATTGGAAATGACATGATCTCTGCAAAGATGTTAAGGTTAAAAATACTTCCTCACAGTTCTTACATTCATTTTTTTCAGCCAACATCTAAACGTTATGGAAGTAACAAGTCTTTTGTGTATTGTGTGCTTTGAGGCACAAATGTGTTGTTCTCCATCATCCTTTAGCGTGTATTTAGTCTGACCTCCTTTGTGCACCGGGTGTGATGCTCCTGCTGTGTGCCCAGGTCGACTTTCACCTTCATATGACTTTGTCTGTCACATGAATAAGGGCACCAACAGCATGCCCATCCAGCTTGCCTCACTGCTGCCCCCTAGTGGCCAATAAAACAGATGGCGCAGGCCTACTTTGTGACCTCTGCCCTCCTTTGCCATCGACCTCCCACAAACCCATTGTTTCAAATAACAGAGGAATACCAGGCAGTTAGAGTAAACATGGATCTGCTGGATTGACACTGCCATGTTCTGTTTCTTATACAGATGATTATTCTGTTTTTTTATCTAGTAAAAACTGTGAATTATCATTTGTTCACTTATATTTTTTTATATTATAAACATCGGATTGAAAATGTTCTTGCAGGCCACAGTGTAACCCTCTGCCTTTTTCCTGTCCTGGATTCCTGCCTGCTTATCGGCTATCCTCACAGATTTATGTGGAGATTTATGTTCAGTGTCTTCCCTCACTGTGATTACTCCAAACAGAGCTCAAACACAGGCGATGGTTCGAAGGAAACAAGATTTTTTTTAAACAAGGGAGGGGGGGATCTCTCAAGCAGTCGTGCTGTGAATCTTTTTAATGAAAAAAAAGATTCTTGCAAACTTGCATGTGTGCTTTTGAGCAGGTGTGTGGTAGTAGACTGATAACATGTATACCTCTGCTGTTACGGTTTAGTGATCAGTAAAGGGCAGTCTCATTAGCCATGGTGCCCTTAAGGCAAAGTGGGAGGTCCCAGTGAACGACTTCTTTATTGATTATTCCTTCCCATGTTGACCCCTGACCTTGACTTCATACTTTTTCAGGGAAAATCTCCATATTTGTCATGAGTGAAATGCTCCAGCTCATTTCTCAGGTTGCGTAAAAGTCGCAGTGACGGGAAACATAGGTCTATTGATCAGTAAGCGAGATACATAGTGGAGGATATAGGAGCCGCACGTTCATCTTCTAATAAGATTGGTCAGTCTGGGAGCTGCTCTCGTGGGCCCTGGGAGGATGGATTGTTAGAGACAAAAGCATGGACGTAATGTAGGATCATGCAGAGTCATCTTTTCAATTCCTACTCTGTCCTCCTCTGTCTTCATCTGCGAATCCCGGCAGCTCATTTGAATATTACATTTGTTTCTGTCGGATTATAATCGCATCTCTTTGCCTCTGGTCCTCTACGTTTAAGTTTGCCACAGTGTTGTTGCAAGCATATGTGTAACTCTGAAGTCCGTGACCTGACCAAAACTCAGCTGCCAGGGTTGTCACCCATTCCAAGCCCTGACTCTCGTCCATTTTCACTGGCTCCCAGTTAAATCCTGGATCACCTACAAACTCCTCCTTCCTGCTCACTACTTCGACCCTACAGCCCGTCCAGGAATCTACTATCCTTTGATCGGAGTCTTCTCACCATCCCCAACACCAGACTGCAGATTTTTGGGGACAGAGCTTTCAGCGTGGTAGCCCCCACCCTCTGGAATGCACTGGCAATGGAGTTTCCCAATGCCACTCCCGTCTGGACATTCAAAAAACTTCTCAAAACTAAATTAAAAAAAAGAAGCATGATTTGATACCATCTCTCTTTGTCTTTGTCTCTGTTGACTTAAATATGTCCTTAAACATGTAAAGCGTCCTTTGGTCACTTGAGAGGCGCTCTAAAAATTAAGACGGTAAAAAGTTATTATTATTAAAGAAAAAAATGACCTTGTTGCAGGGCAGCCCCTGTCCTCTCCTCTCCTCTCCTCTCCTCTCCTCTCCTCTCCTCTCCTCTCCTCTCCTCTCCTCTCCTCTCCTCTCCTCTCCTCTCCTCTTGAACTGACAGTGTTTACAGTTTGACTTTTGCATGAGCAGTAATGAGACAGCAGGGAGAAGAGGAGCAGCCTTGCATTGTTAATAAGACCAAAGAGCTGTGTGATGGGGCTGTCTACGCTGTCTGGCTCTAACACTTTTTTTAACCCTCCCCCCAATCTCTCTCTCTCTGTGTCTCAGGTAAAGTTGGTTCCCTCATTCTGCTCAGACCTCCTGGAACCCCTGACGACCCCAATTAGACTACATCCCTTCAGGTAAATAGACCATATTTGATAAGGAGGTTGAATTCATGTGAACTTCAACTGACAATAATTACTCCAAGAGGTTTTCTCATTTTAAAGCTGTATCCATTAACCTGCAGTGACCTGTTTTCTCTGTAGGGGTGCATTGAGTCTTCCTGTTGGGCCAGATTGGCCAAAATTAAGAGCTGAGACCGAACTAGCACTGGATCTGATTTTCTTCCCCCAGTCTTTGTCCTCCTGACTCGTCAAACCTGGCCTTCTAACAAGTGGTGCCTCACATTTCTCCTCCTCCAGTGGACCACCATTCAATCCAAAATGGAAAAAGAAAATGCACACCAATAAAAAAAAAACAGATGCTCAACATATTCCACATACAGCTTTGTAGCTGCAGCTTTATGACTGTTTCTGTTGTTGAGTTAACACAGCGTGAGTGTAACCATCACAGGATCAGAAGTGATTGAGACAGTGACAGAATTCAGAGGGAACTGTTATGGACTCTGACGTTTCTCCAAACTGCTTCTGTGTTACAAATCAAAAAGGACAGCTTCAGGAAAACAGCCAGCAGTTTTGCAAAGCACATTTGCATTTCTGGACTTTCTACTTTCTGTATCCATGTTTCTGGCACATGATGTTCATTATGGACGAAAACTGTCAAACAGCTTTTGCTTCAAGTCAAAAAGTGGCAAAAAATGAAGCCAAACCGTGATTTGCTGATATGAAACTGTGATACAAATCAAGACTGTTAGCCATATGCCTTTGTTAGCTCTGTGTTCTCCGTATTGCTAACATGTGTGACACACACATACTGTATGTGTGCTGGTTGCTGCTACTCCCCTGACCTACACATGAAGAACAAGACTAAGGAGTGCACATACACATGCACACAAACACGCACACATGCACACATGGATACACATGCTTGTGGATGGCTGTTACTTCAATCCCAGAGTGCACTGGTGTTTTTTTGGGATGGGGCAGAATGCCAGTATTTGTTCTGTGTTATTCTGTGCTGTCTTAAACATGACCCCTATAAAGAGAACATGAATTGTCCTGTCCTTATTTAAGAGGAGCTTTGGTCAGCTTCACCCAATAACTGGGAGATTCATTTATTTCTTGGAGAATTTGTTGGTCCAATCGAGACCGACAGTATGTTTTAAGTATAAATGTTGTGAATGTTGCGGCAAGTAAAACATTTCTTATATTCACTCTCTGTCAATTTTTTAGGAAAAGCATTTATTATTTTACAGGGTAAAGGTGAAATAAAGGCCGAGCAACAACACATTGAATAGTTCAGGGCATTAGAAGTAATTAAGTAATATTTCAACTTTATAATATGTGATTCTGTTGGAATTAACACACCGGAAATGTCACTGTGCAGTAAGTGTTTCCCATGCAGAGCCTTGCACAATGGCAGCTTTTCAGAAGTGAATATCAACGTCTGGCTCACAGCCCTCTTGACAGGCGCTTACAGAGAAACATGGTCATACAACACAAGTCATTGTAGTGTGGTTGTGCATGAACAGACAGAACATTCTCACCATAACAGGGTGACCAGGGTCAGTCCTTTATGAGAGAATACTTCATCTACATGTAAACATCAACGAAAAAAATATCAAACCACAAAATTGCTACACGTTTGGCTGCTCCCTGAAACGGCACGTCTGGGCCTCAGAGGCATCTGAGCAACGAACGAGTCCAGTGGAAAACTTCTGAATATCCCTGGGCAGAGGAGGTAAATATTAACATTCTAACAGGGGTTTACAGCCATCACGGTGTCACGCTGTGTATGAGCAAGTGTGCTTTATTGTTCCAGTAAGCCCACCAGCTCGCTAATAGCTCTGCCATCATTGTGTAACTATCAAACAGCCTTTCTAATGACATACTGAAAATGTGATGAAAGACCTGTAGACTAAATATTACATTTTTGTTGTGTGTCTAGATTTACTACTTAAGATGTAAATGAAGATGCACTACTGCCTTTGGGATCCCTTAAAATACCTATGATGTCATCAAACCTCGCAATCAGCCATGGTGCGACAGCAGGAAATCTCCATAGCAACAAGGGAGGGTTGTTGGTAAGATAAAGAGCCACAAAGAACAGATCCAGCTCTCCGCAGGTGCATTGGAGAGATCACCACTTGAGCTGCCTGTATCGCCTGCTGCAGCATTAATGTGCACACGGCAACATTGGCGGTGTATGAGTTCGCCGGTGCCAGTGTGTTTATGGGTTTTGTTTATGTGTGTTTTAGTGTCTCTGGCAAAGGATCAGTGTAGCGCCCCACAGGCAGATGGAGTCTCAGGGACTCCATTTGGACGGCAGGTCTAAGTGGAGTAACGACAACAGCCTTTCATGGGCCAGAAAACCAGATTATAAGAACACAAAAAATAACACACAGGTATGATGCAGCTAAATCCAACAGCAGCAATAGAGTAAAGGGAATCCCAGCATCTCTGGGCAGATGGAATGATTGAAATCTGCAAGAATGGATTTTTCTGTGCCACTTGAGGGCAGCAGAAATAAGTTTGAACACTGTTTGAGCTACATCTCTGGCCATCCTGCAACTTTTAGCCCATTATTTATCACCTTCAGCTCAGTTTTTGGTTTCTGCCATCTCCTGAGGCAAACATGATTCTTTAGCTTCTTCTATATGTGTCTATGTTTGTCATGAAGCAGGCAGAGTAAACCGAGAAAGAATCTCAAGCCAGGATCAAGGCCCATTCTGTGAGATCAGGATTGGAGGAGGGACTCACCTGCATGTGCAAGGGGAGGAGTTTTGAAGGGGAAGTTATTTAAGATCTGAGTGTATCCAGCCAAATCCCTTTGTTTGAGACCATGTGGCCATGCACCAGTCAGTTTAAGTTTCTATCCTTTGTATTACGACAATCTATCATACGTATCATCTCATTTTATGTTTTTTTCATATTCATTTGTTTGTAATGGTCCCTAAAAGAGTGATATATGTGAGAAAAACGTGTTCCTGACCAAGACCTCAGATGCTTTGTTGACTGATTGACTTGCATAACTTATGTAAGTAACTTGATGTGTGTTTCATTTATTTTATTATTTCTTTTCGAACTGGTGCTTATGGAAATGAGGTAATTTATGTTGTTTATTATCCAGAAAAAAATCCATCCATTCCTCTATCAACCTATTGTGACCTCAATAAATGGTTAAATGGCTAAATGGCTCTTGGACACTCGCGTTCAGTGGGAGATAACAGTAGCAGTAAAATTAAAAATAACATGGAACTTTGAAGCTCTCCAAGAGAAGCTGCAGATAATTCCTTGTTGGTCACATTGTTTTCAGTTTTTCGGCTCATGGTGCTTGTATTATTTATCTTCTTCTTATTTTTCTGATTTAATGATATATTCAATTGACTTTAGCTGAATTTATCAAAGGCTTTTAATCTTGAAATATCCTTACACATTTCCTGTGACACATTTCCATGACATAAAGACTGATAAATGATTTATCCTTCACACCTGCCACCTACAGTAGATCACCTTTTCTTTGTCACTTTCAGTTATGTGATATTTCCATGTTCACCAGCAGTCACATCACTGGCAGTGCAGGAAAGGGTGGTTGCTAAGGTGGATGATGCTGTTGCTAGTGCTTCAGCAAAAATCTGATTATTTCTTGATGCTGATTGGCTGACCAGTTCCAGTTTCTAGGGACAGGCGCAGCAGACAAGGTGGGGACTCCCAATTCACATGCACAGTTTGCCTCACATGCACAAATAGAAAACGGACACACACTCACATGTACTCTGATGCATGCTAACTCACACAGGCACATAAAACCCACATTATAAATTATGTGTGTACTTTACTCAGACACAGATCTTAAGGAAATGTTGTTTCCATCTGTTGGAAGAGGTGATCTGCTGCCTGTCGTCTCAGGTTTTGCTGCAAAACAAAGAGACACATGGTGGAGAGGGTGATGGGGTTAAAACGTGGAAATGAAGAGAGCGAGCGATGCTGCTGTGCTCTATCAGATGACTCATCACTCTGTCGTTGTGACCTTTCTCCTCTACATTCTCCACCTCTATTGTTTTTCATTTTCTGACGACCTCTCTCTAGTAGCATTTCTTGCTGATCTTACTCCCTCCTCTACTCTCCCTCTTCTCTCTGCCGCATATCTGTTCTTCCTGAAAGAATTTCAACCTGTTCCTCCCTGTTTTTAACCTTTCCTCACGCCTGATCCCATCACCATCAATATGTGCTGGCTCTGACACAGCGATGCTACATGTGGGCTGTCACACAAGACACAAACTACGGACAACGAGATAGCAGATGCCTGTGGCGGCCAGACTGTGGTTGTATACATTAACTGCTGATTTGATTGAACTGACTAGACAGGGAGCACTTAACTGTTGCCGGCATTGTGGGAAGAAAACATTTGCAGGTAGAGATTTCCTTTGTGTCAGTGCACATTCAGAGGATATTGCAAAGTCAGGCCAAGCCTAACATATACCATATGTGTTCAGTCTTGCATATCTAGTCTAGATATCATTAATATCAACCCCAGGTTTCCTCTCTTAGCTGCACCACACCCCCAAATCAGTTAAGCCATTGATTTTTCCTTGTTTTCTAAGCCTGAGAAAACAACAGAAAGTGAAACCACATCCAGAATCGATACGAACAGTACTCTACTCTGAAGGTGAGGACATATCTCATCATGAAAGCAGGGATCATCATCTGCCTGGCAGCTTTCAACAGGCAAGTAGAGATCTTCCAAGGTCAATCTCTAAATATCGGAGGAACCCAGAGGGCAGGGGGAGAGCGTAGAACATGTTGGGGAAAAATGGGACAAAGGGACAAAAGCAAGCTGGTGATGTTCCTTGGCTTGTTGTAGTTGAGGATGTCTGCTGTGGGGAGTTATTATGATGCCTACATGACATGATTAATGAGGAATAGATGCATTTTGTTCTGGTCACAGGGAAAGAAAAGGTTATGCTGTCATTCAGGAACTTAAGGACGTTAGTGGAAGAGACTAAGAAGCTAAAACAATTTTCACTGTTTTAATGCTGGTGACAATGTTGAACATTGACATTAAGTGTGTGAACAATGTATTTCTGTGTGTTTGTGTGTGTGTGTGTGGGAGTGAGATCATTATGTTTCATAGGAGAGTGATCACCTGCAGCAGCAGCACCAGCAGAGGTCATCCAGGTCACCTCTCCTCCCCTGCCCTGCAGTCTGCTGTCAAAAGTTGCATCAACACCCCCCTCTCTCGTCCACCCTGCCTCGTCCTCGCTCTCCTCCTCCCTCTCTCCCTGCTCCACATGGCCTGCTGCATAGAAAAGGGTGGGGATCTGAGGTGTGCAGGTCTGCTGACTCACACACAGATGCACAAATATGCCGTCATATTTCTCAATATATCATCTTAATTGTACTATGTGTGTTGGACTGCAATGAAATGGCTGAACATGAGGATTAAAAGCTAATTTATACAATAAGAATACGTTAACTGAGCATGTTTATATCAAGAGAGGGTTTCACACAGAGAACGGAGGTCTCTGTGTGAAACCGGAGGGGCCCCAATTCAAGGCCACAATGGTGCACCAATTTGTCACATTTAAAAAAGGTCTAAGATGTTTCATACAATGAACAATGCACTGACATGGTTAACACAGTCAGGTCTTTCCATCAGTTTGAAAGCGTTCTTGTGTTTCTCTGTGGCTCCATTTGGTCTGCATGCCTGAACACAAAACAGAATCAATGGTCCCATTCTGCAAAGACTTGACACAGCCATGAAAGGTGATGGGGACTGGAGACAGAACTAAAGATCTTAAATAGTTGGAGAGCTGGTTGCCCTGAGAACTGGGAATCAATTGTTATCCAGTAATTTAAAACTCGTCATCAATTATCCAGAGTTGTCAAAGTCTTACACCGTGCCCCCTAATTCAAGTTTGTGAGCCTTGTTTCCTCTATGATTTACCAATAGCTCTATTCACAATTGATTGTGATACACAATCGTGTCATTGTAAAGTATCACTGTGAATAAGTCATATAGACGGGCACTCATAAGATTGCAGACCTCTGGCAAGGCCCCCCTCAAATTCAATCAAGCTGCACCAAATAGACACATGCATAGATGTCAGTTCCTCTAATTTGTATTATTTGTATTATTCCTCTTTTTGCATCCGCCCCACGATCATGACTCAAAATTGAATGGGTTCTTTCCTGACCCATATTGCATCATTCCACCAAGTATTGTTGTCATGCACTCTGTTATTTTTGTGTAATCTTGCTTACAAAGACAACAACCTTCTTGGCGGAGGAAAAATGTGTGAATGTCTGGATTACACTAACAGAATAACATTAAAGGCATTTGTTCTATCTATTCTATCATGGCGTGATGATGTTAAATGGCTCTTTATTTGGGCTCTAGTAAGGTTTGTGTTAGTCACCTAGTGCAAGTAAGATGAGGTTAAGAAAACAATTGAAGTCATTCTCAAAAATACTGAACTTTAACATTAAATAGTTTGTGCATGCTGAATTTAATAAAACATTAGTCAATAAAGGAAATGACTCCCACACCCTCCCCCAATTCCTACCAACTCAATCTCATATCCCATCATCTAAGTGCCCTCTTCCCCATACTACTAGTAAAACTGTTAAGGATAATTGCTGTGAATGTGGTGGTGGATGATGAATTGTTACACTGCTGACACCGAGCACTGGATATTGGTGGTTGCATGTGCTCTCAGCTGCCCTGCATTTAGAAATCAGGCTTCCTCATTTACATTCATAGTCGGCGGAGATTTAAGGGTTCCTGGCCATCAATCAGGCTGCTTATGCACAAGTGCCCAGTGCTCCTCACACAAACATTCAGCCGGAGAGGAAAACAGTTGCACTCTCTGCTGAGAGTGAGCCACTGTTTGCACACACTTTATGCAGAGTTATTTGCTGTAATCCCTGTGGTCCGATGTCGTCATCTCTATTTGTGCTTTGCACTTTGATTGGAGGAAGATTGCATAGAGTGTTGAACCAGTCCTTGGACTGTGGTAGAGCAAGGAGAATGCCTGAATTCCTCATGTATTCTCAGAGAGTCATTCACTCTCTTTTTCATTCATGTGTAAATTTTGCTTTCTGCCTGAAGACATATCTGGGTTTTCACATGGCCCCCTTTCAGTCAGCGGAGGAAAGGAGGCCATGGGGAAAGACCGGCTGAAAGAGAATTTCACTGCATCACTTAATTTCACCGCATATAATCACCAGATTCGGCATGAAATTCAACTTGGCTGCAATTGTATTAAGAGCATCAGTCCAGCCTTGAGTGTGAGTGTAATAGGTGTGGTCAGTAATTAATAGATGTGATATAGTCTGTAATTCTGTATCACGTCTGTAATTCTGTATCAGAATAAACCAAAGGAATGATATTTGTGTCCGTCTCTGTATTCGAAGATGTAGGACCTTACAGGTGGCAGACACATTTCAAACGTACTATCATAATGTTTGAGCACAAACTGTACTGTTGTATTTTAACAGATAAAACATAAAGTAGACACATAGAAGCACACAAACATATTATTCTGATGTAGGCACAGGGGTTTTGTAACCTGCACTCAAGTCATAAAATACGAGAGAATTACGAGAAGAATGTTTTATACTGGATAAAACTGCAAAATATTTAATAGTAGTATTTTTATTTCGTTTCTTATCAACAATGGTAGATTGGAGATATCAGGCATGATAATGTTAAATGGCTCTTTATTTGGGCTCCAGTAAGGTTAGGGCACAAAAAAGAACAGAGGTTTCTGTCTTTCTGACAATTTCGGGGGGGCCCTAATTGTGGGGCAAGGCCACGATGGTGCACCAATTTATCACTTTAAAATAGGTCTTAGATGTTTCATACAATGAACAATGCACTGACATGGTTAACACAGTCAAGTCATCAGTTAAGGGGGGGGGGATGCGCGCGCACGGACGGGGCGAGGCGTGCAAAAGGAGCTGTTAGTATGCGCCGCGATGTCCAACTGCAGCCCACGCACCTCAACTCTGCAGAATCATGGCGAAATATAAAAGACGTGAGAAGAGCCGGCAGCTCACAGACGGTCGGTGGTGATGAGATGACACAGCCGCTGGACACATCAGTCACACCGGGGGAAGAGGGACAGAAATGAGGGAATGGACTCAAGACCTCAAGGCACCTTTTAGGAAGAGACCGGGAGAAACGTGGTGAATGCCTGCATGTCATTTATCTGAAATTGTGCGTTATGGTCCGACGGATGATGCTCTGCTGCTTTTGTTTAGTTTAGTGCATGGAGACTAACGCGGATGTCCACGATCCACCAGCCTGTCTGGCACCTGTCACTCCAAACTAACGCGCAACTATACGGCACTGCCATTTAACATGTGAATAACCAAGTGCATGGAACTTGGCTGCTTTGTCTCAAAATGTATGAGAAAAAAAAAAAAGGTCCTCCCTTTATTATCAGCAACCACCAAAGGGCTGCGTTATTATTCATCCATGGAATCGGTCGTGAAGATAACAGCCTCTGTGCATCATTGGTGTGTTAACATGGATGGGGATTTACGCAGAGATAAATTAGAAAATAAGATACAAAAATAAAGAAAATCATACGGAACTGTGTGGATCTAACAGGTGATTTCGCCTCATAGATCAGCTGACACTTCGCCTCCCACAAAAAAACAACTCCTTCCCCAGTGATACCTCTGCAGATATCAGGCTAAAGCTGGGGTGTCAATTTTGTTTTGTACATGCCAGCATTTTTAACAGAATATGCCCCCATCAACACCACCATAACTTCATCATCACAACATGCATCTGCTGGTCACTGAGGGTAGGGATGTAACCCCTGCGTCCTCACGCCTTGTCCCCCTCTCCCACTCCCCACTGCTGCGTTGCTGCAGAGCCGGAGCCTCGCCTGGTGATGTATGGTGGGCACAGGGGAGCTGCTTTGACCGTGGAGACTGACTTTGGATCGGGGAACTTTCAGCTCCATGGGCCCCTGCAGTCACACATAGAGGACCGAGCGTAAACAAGCATCACAAGTGCCAGTGAGAATAGGTAGGACCTCTCCATATTGCTGCTCCTATTAGCAAATTCCTCTGTGTTTGTTTCTTAGGTCAAATTAATATTCTTTTTATAGCTTTTATGCAATAACCTGTGAAGTGTAAAGGTTACAGCTCTGCAGTATTACAGACATTTGAAAATATGCGAATGTGACAAATATCCCTGAATATAATCAGCTGAGAAACTATTAATATCTATGACTTGATGACATGTTGCTTCTTTTTGGGACCCCCATAAGAAAAGAGGAAATTTATCACAGAGATTGTATGGAGCACTCAGCATATAATCAGATTTGTCTGTTGTAATTACACCCTGCGAGAGCTGATACAGTATTACTGCCGAGCATATTGATCCTGCAGTGAGCTGAAATGAGAGGGAACTCATAACCTAATACACATAGACACAATGGAGCCAATGCGCTGAAATGGTTCTGCCACTCCTGGCTGTTATTTTCAACTGCCCTGCTCACGCTTGTTTGTAAGAAGCTCATAAAACAACACAGCGTTTCTGGGAATCACTGACAATTTAGAACTGTGAACTGCATTTGGAGGAAGAAATCAATAAGACATACCTGCCAAAGAATCCAAGTTGTTGGAAGTATGAGTTTTCTTGCTTGTTGCATATTAAAGAGCACATAACATATGTTGATGATATTAATATTGCAGTCTTCCCTTGCTTTCTCTAATGTTCCTGCAGCTCCTCACTGGCTAATATCCCTGAACCCACAAGTGTTGGACATCTTTGTCTCCTTCTGCCCTGAAGTGGCCCCACCCTGTCTGAAAGCTGCAGGTCCCATCTCCCTCCAGCATGACGGTTGCGACCAGCGACCCTGCGGATGAAGCAGCAGCTCACCCGGGCCAGCCTCATGACCACTATGACCCAGAGCCAGACCAGGAGTGCTGCGAGAGAGTCGTAATCAACATCTCTGGATTGCGCTTCGAGACGCAGCTCAAGACTCTCTCACAGTTTCCAGAGACGCTACTGGGTGATCCCAAAAAGCGGATGAGGTATTTTGATCCTCTCCGGAATGAATACTTTTTTGACCGCAATCGACCAAGTTTTGACGCCATTCTGTATTATTACCAATCAGGAGGGAGGCTGCGCCGGCCTGTTAATGTCACCTTGGACATTTTTTCTGAGGAGATCCGGTTTTATGAGTTAGGCGAGGAGGCGATGGAAATCTTCAGAGAGGATGAAGGTTTCATAAAGGAAGAGGAGCGACCTCTGCCAGAGAATGAGTTTCAGAGACAAGTGTGGCTGCTGTTTGAATATCCAGAGAGCTCAGGTCCTGCTCGCATCATTGCTATAATCTCTGTCATGGTGATTCTGATCTCCATTGTCAGTTTCTGCTTAGAGACACTGCCAGTTTTCCGAAATGACGATGACATGTACAAATATTCATCGCAGTCCATGAGCAATACCACCTCTACCTATGACGGCTCTACATATTTCACAGATCCCTTCTTCATTGTGGAGACCCTCTGCATCATCTGGTTCTCTTTTGAGTTCCTTGTCAGATTCTTCGCCTGTCCCAGTAAAGCTGGTTTTTTTGGCAACATCATGAACATCATTGACATTGTGGCAATCATCCCATACTTCATCACACTTGGCACAGAGCTAGCAGAGAGGCCAGAGGACAGCCAGGCAGGCCAGCAGGCCATGTCTCTGGCTATTCTCCGTGTCATCCGTCTAGTAAGGGTGTTTCGTATCTTCAAACTCTCACGTCACTCCAAGGGGCTCCAGATCTTGGGACAGACTCTGAAGGCCAGTATGCGTGAGCTTGGCCTCCTCATCTTCTTCCTGTTTATCGGTGTGATCCTCTTCTCCAGTGCCGTCTACTTCGCAGAGGCAGACGAGCCAGACTCCCAGTTCAGCAGCATCCCTGAGGCCTTTTGGTGGGCCGTGGTCTCAATGACCACTGTAGGCTATGGAGACATGGTGCCAACAACCATTGGAGGAAAAATCGTAGGATCACTATGCGCAATCGCCGGTGTGCTAACTATTGCCCTGCCTGTACCTGTCATTGTGTCAAACTTCAACTACTTCTACCACAGAGAGACGGAGGGCGAGGAGCAGGCACAGTATTTGAATATGCCGAGCGTGCCTAAAGCCAGCTCAGCTGACGATCTGAAGAAGAGTGGTCGGAGCGGCAGTGGGTCCACTAACAGCAAATCTGACTACGTGGAGATCCAGGAGGCTGTGAACCACAGCACTGAGGACTTCAGACTAGAAGGCATGAAAACAGGAAATTGCACACTGGCCAACACTAACTATGTAAACATCACTAAGATGCGTACAGATGTATAATGTGAGCTACTGAGGATGGTTAACTTCTGCCAGGGTCTACAGGTGTTGTGACAGTAATGTCAGTCCCTGTGTTGACCAATGTATGGCTCCCCGGAATGGGAGTCCAGAGCAGATGAGTGAGATTATCTTGGAGAAAGGTCAGTAGAAAGACCTCATATTCTCCCATTATCCTATATGGACCTATCATTGCATATCATAGAACTGCTCCCTGTCGCATTTAGGACATTGTCAGTGTGTGCATGGAGTTAGTCGTACCTATATGACGTAGTCGTTGTGCTCGCAACAGTAGCCAAATAGTAGCCTAACCAGTAATAATCAATATTAACAGTGTAAAGGGACCAGAAGTTTTTACCCTCTCGCTCAAGCTGCCGCCTGGACAAGATGCAAGATGACAGCAATTCCAATCAGCTTAACGTTTGTTTTAAAATGTAATTTACTAACTTGTGATTATAAGAAAAAAAAAAAAAARGCCATACTATCGGCATACATAAGCAACTTTAATCGGCTTCTCAAACTGCCAAGGTCCTGACTCAGAGAAATCCAAATCCCTGAGATCACAGCTGTTCTGTCAGGGAAAAACAGAGAGACAGAGAGAGAGAGCATTTGTTGCTTTCTCTGTGGGAGAAACAGCCTGAGTGCACTAGCTTTACTCCTTCACCCCTCACCAGATATTCTATAGTCTATTCTATAGTACAAGCTAGGGGCCTCTGTGGAGATATATTATGATGCTGTTGTGTAATTCAGGACCACAAGAGCACACCACCCAATTTTTCCTGCCAGTTTTTCCCTCTTTGATGAAGCTCAAGTAGATTTATCATACATATGTACTCTCTCACCAAGACTCTGCCTTGTTTTTCCAGTAAATGCAGGCTAGCATGTGGACACAAGAAATCTCCCTCTGAACAGAGTGAATGTCCGATGTATCGTTGTATGTTAATTTAATGTGTGCTTTTTTCTAATTAACATGATGAATGTGTGCTTCTTATCATCTTTTTTTATGGTTAAAACGCCCAATGTAGAAGGGCAGACCCTGAATATATAATGTTCGGAGTGAGTGCCTGTTTCTCCATCCTCTTGACTTTACCATCAAGTTGTCTCTTTGGCTGCCACCTGCTCCACTGTAACAGTGAGCACTAGTTTAGTTTGACACCACTGCCCAGCATTAACGTGGCTCTCCTTGACTTCACAGCATTCCATGTTTGTACAAACAGATCAGACGAGATTAAGGAGCAAATCTGGATGAGCGTTTCCTTTGTTGATTTTGTCAGTATATAATTTCAGCACAGTTTGAAGCTAAATGAACCAGTTTGCTGTACAATCCGTTGAGACTTTTATTTAACCAAGATCAAACGTTAGTAATTTAAGGAGGAGCTCAGTGATCAACTCAAATGAAAACGTCCAACTGTTTTAAACCAGCGATGTCGGCCACTGCAAGCCTGCTTATGATATCCAGAGTCTCACTAGCAATACTCAAAATTATTGATCTTACCCAATCAAACTGATTCATCACTCATTTTAGCATGTCATGTGATTACTCCTATAGCAGCACACCTTTATTCATTGATTGTGGGCTACTGGTAGATTTTACAGTGTTCAAGTGTTGCTATAGGCTATAGCTCAACTATCAAGTCACCAAAGACAAATGTGCTGTCACTTGGATTCTCAATTTTGTCTTAGAACTTTTCTAATATAGTTTGAACTACGGTGGCCCTGAGAGCTCAATGCACTACATTTTAAGAAAACACATGCAAATAGACACAAAACATACAAACTGAGAGACATCTCCACAATTTGACAACACATGCACAGCAAATGGTAAACATACTGCTACTCTGCCAATTCAGGGAATCTGACAAAATACACTAGAAACATGCTAACGCCATGTTAGTTAGCTATGTAACGTGCTACCTTTTTTTTTCAGATCAACTTGTCTTTACCGTGGCTTTGTTGATCTGGTTTTGGTTGAGAGTATTTGGTTGTGTTGTGAGTATACGGTTGTGTTGAGAGTATTTGGTTGTGTTGTGAGTATTTGGTTGTGTTGAGAATATATGGCTGTGTTGTGAGTATATTGTTGCATTGAGAGCATATGGTTGTGTTGAGAGTGATGCAGCGCATATTCCATTTGCGGCACGTGTGTTTTCAAATTGTTGACAATGTTTCTCCATCAACATGTAACATGTCGATTTGCATATGTGTTTTTTAAGTTGCTGTACTTTGAGCTCTTGGCCTTCGTATTGAAAAGTCATTCCATTTGTGCATTTTGCACACATAATGCAGGACCTAGCGCAAGTGTCCTCTATTAGCTTTTTTTTATCAAATGCTAAAATGCTATTCTGCTATTGTAGTGCTGCATGTCCTGAGTGTTCATCATAGCATGCATTAGTATGAATAGTATGAAAAGGGCATATTTACTTAAAGGTCCAGTGTGCAAGATTTAGGTGAAAGAGATCTATTGGCAGAAATTTAATGTTGAATAATCCTCATTATGTTTCATCTAAATTGTATGAATTGTAGTTTTCTTTACCCCAGAAAAGGCCCTTTATATTTACATGCTTTATATTAACCTCGAGGGGACCCTCTCTACGGTGGCCGCTATTGTTTTTATAGTAGCCAGACAGGACAAACTAAACACCTTTTGATTTTTTTGACAACTGAAGGCTGCCACAGGTTCTGTTTCATGTTTGGAAGGGGAGGATGAGGTGAGGGGTGTTCAGCTGCAACATGCAACTTCAACACTAGATATCACAAAATTCTACACACTGCCCCTGTAAATACATTCTTGTATTTATCAATACTGGCGCTTTATGCAATGTATGGGAGACAGGTGTTTAAGAAGTCTGAGTGATATTTCAGATATATGCATCTTTCTGCCATTGCAATTTGAAATGTTGTTGCATCCATGTGAAGTATGTACCCAATGAGGCTTGTGTTTCCATTAGAAGAATTAACTATCTCTAATCTGAGGAAATGAAACAGGTTACACATACGGAAACAAGGAAGATATGATAGATTCAGAAAAGGCAGGAGGATTGCCGAACTGACGGTTTGATTCATAGCCCAGATGTTAACTAATGTCCCGCTCTAGCTTTATAGTCTTTACCATCTGTTGCAGTCACAACCCTAACCGTAACTGTGTGTCATAGTGAAAGCACAACAACAGCTACTATTGTGTATGAGCTGCCAAACCCAGTGGATGCGCACAGACTCAAGCAGTTGGTCAGTGAGACTTTTTGCTCAGCCAAGTGTATCATAATGCTCCGAGGGACTGTCTCTGACATGGAGGTCCATCATGCTAAGTGTGTTGTGTTGTCTTTGTGAGTGTGTTTGTGTGTGTGAGAGAGAGAGTGTGTGCATGTAAGACAGAGAGAAAGAGACAAAGAGATTGTGAGAAAGAGCTTTTAGATGCAAGCTGCTGGTCTAGCTTTTATAGACAATGTGGCAGCAGTTATCTAAAACACTGCTCTCCTTGACTCCAGGCCTGAGCGACTGTGGTGCTCTGTATGTTCGATACCATCTCAGCACAGTGTTTACAGAGCGTGTGCAAACTTAACGCATGCATGTAGTGCATTAAACGAGGAAAACTAAATGTCCCGCTACACTCGCTAGAGGTGAGATCTACGAGCATGTGTTTACAAGATAAGCTGTGGTATCAGTTAATGGGACTTGAAGAGAGAAAATAGAGGAAAACTGAGGAATGATTGGGAACGAAAACATGACAATGAAAGTAAATCAAGCACTGCCCACACCCTCCTCTTTACTCTGGTGTATTCTTGTATTTCTCCACACTGTATTGGAACACCTATGTGACTTTATGTGAATCTTCTGGACCGCCGTCTTTTCCTCTTTTGTTACCAAGCACACGGTTGAAGTGACGCGCTCTTTCGAGACAAGTTCTCTCAGAGAAACCAACACGATGGCACATCAGGATTTGAACCAAGGAAAATACATCTCTGCTGTACTTTATTACATACAGCTATTGTACACGTGTGTACACACACTGCCTGTGAACTCACACCTGTGTGGTGACTTCTGCTGTCAGGAAAGACATGTTCCTGTTGTTTTATCAAACTTCAACACACAAACTGAATGGACTTAAACGCCACTGCTGGTGGTGAACACACATAGCCATGTAAACAATGTATTTAACAGTAATTTAAAACGGCTGCTTTCAGTAATGTCTTAAAATGCCTAAAGCTTCTGCTTTAAAACGAGCTCCTGCCATTTACAGATTCCTATGTAGCAGGGAATCAAAGTGTATGCCTGCTGAACTTACCCAAGAAGCTTCATAGATGATGAACTAGCTCTTAGGTTTTTATGCTCCAAGGACAAAGGATGGAATGTATATTATGAATTCATAAAGGGAATATAATTTCTATTAGAACTTTAATTTAGTGTTTTCAGGTGTCTAACTTATCTTTTGTTTGTTTCCTCCATGGTTTTGTATTGAATGTCATTATAAGCTTTCCTTTGAGCCTCACATGTTGCATGGGCGAAGGATTAACTGAAATACATATGCAGGATTGATTCTGTCTGTACTGTCTCGACACATATTTACCTCAAGACTACTACTGATCTCAATTACTCTAATTCATCTGCCTTCAGTCAGAAATTATTTTGAATGTGCTTTACACAATCCACAGTATTCACTGTATTATCATTCTTAACGTGGATTCTGCTCAGCTCCATGTATTTGTTTACAACCTGTGTTTTTTTTTTCTACCATTGTAAAGAAAGAGACCAAGATGCAAACTGTCTGATGTTACATGCAAAGGAGGAAGGTCACAAGGACTTACAGTGAATATAAACTGAAAGAGGCACTTTTGTCATTCAAAACCATTGTAAATGACTAACTATTATGAATAATAATACTGCTAATGGTTTGATGATACTAATGATCTAATGATTATATCAATAATAATATCTTTACAATAAGCTTCTGTTTTTCTCCTGACTTCTTCTTGTGGCTGATGAAATTGGAGTGGGCTTGGATCATCATCATCCATCCATCCATCCATTATCTACACCTATATGCTCTTATTGCAGGGTTATTTAAATGTCAGTCCAAATCTGTGAATCTTTGAATTAATGATTTTGAACTACAATGTTTTTTATCTTAACAATATACTTGATGTTCGGGATTCTCAAAAATGATTTCTTAATATCTCAGTCAGAGAGTTTACAGTGTGCCACAGATTACTTTCCTCTTTCGTGATCTTAAAGCAAAGAAAATAGTCATCATGAGAGAGAAAAACTAAAATTGTCATATATCATACAATATAAATTGATGAAAAGTGGCCGCTCTCTTGTCCATTACAGAAGATACATTTGAATCGACTATCGACCTTCACCTCCTGAATTTGTCCTGCTTTACCTCCTGAGTTAATCTTATGTACGTTGTGGTTTACTGAGAAAGCAAAGTGGTCTATTTATAAAACCAGCGAGGGGCAGTGGCA